TCTAGCATGGCTGGGCACGACCGCCCCTTCGACCCTATTGGCCGGTAATCTGGGGACTATCTCCCCCTACAGTCACTAGTACATAGCATCATGTCATTTTAGCACATAAACATATCACAGGTAGTAACAACCCTAGATGAATATCACAGAGACAATCATCTATCATGCAACTCCTACTGGTGGGCCGGTATTGTGGCCGTAGACCCACCGCTACTAGAAGGTAACTCACCTCAAAGTGGCTGCTAATCTGCGTGGGAACTGACTGACTTCTGCTGCTGCTGCTCCGGAAATCCTTCGGCTATAATTCCCACAAAAACACTCAGTCAAATACTGCTAACCGCCCTCAGGGTAAAATGACCATTTACCCCTAACTAAACCAAGAGTCAAAATCAAAGTCAACTTCCAGTTGACCCGACTTGCCGAGTTGGCTTGCCAACTCGTCGAGTCCCTATCCACTCGATTGACCATAATCTCGTCTCTACTCGTCGAGTTAGGCATTGACTCGACGAGTTCCCTTCTAAACCGATGACCACTAGTCCTTCATCCTACTCGCCGAGTTGTATGAACAACTCGCCGAGTCTGTTCTTGAGGCTCGCCGAGTCAGGGCATTGACTCGCCGAGTTCCTCCATGAGTGAGTCTGGCTTCCGACTCACTGAGTCACCCCCCCGTGACTCACGACTCCACTCAGCAACACGAAAAGGGGAAAACTCGAGGACTCGCGACTCGACTCGCCGAGTCCGATGAACGACTCGCCGAGTCGGCCACATGCCACTAATATATACTCGATTTTGCTTGGATCCAGCTCATTCCATACGTAGATCTAGGTTCCTAGGGCTTGATTAACACGTAAAGTTTCCAACTTTACGTGTAAATAAACACCAATGAAGGTTTTAGGTCTCAAAATGCACTAAAAGAGTAGATCTAGGGCTTTCATGCAATATGGCTTCATAAAGGCAGTGGATCCGAGCTCCTAGAGCTCAATCATGCCTAGATCTAAAGGTTGATCGGCTTATCATAGACCCTAGTTCATACCCAAGCTTGGAAATGGCTCAAGAAGGACTTTAATGGAGCTCTAAGGGACTATAAGCATGAGAACAGAGGGAAACTGAGTTATACCTCAAGGAAATCTCTGAAATAACACCAAGATGCCTGGCCTCCTTCCTCTCCTCTTGATCTACTCTCCTTTCTCTCTCAAAGTCTTCAAGAAATCACACCAAGCACTTCAATTTCACAAGGAACGATGTTAGAACGATATAGGGGGCTCTGAGGGTGAATGGGGGCGAGCTTGGGGTGCATAAGGTTGGTTTAAATAGTGTGCAAACCCTTGGAATTAGGGTTTCACCAGACAGCGGGGACTCGCCGAGTCGCCAACTTAAACGTGTTCCATGTCCCGGCTCTATTCGGCGAGTCGGGCCTACAACTCGCCGAGTCCAAGGCTAAAAATGCAAAATACTTAGATAAATTTACATACCAGGAACCAGGTGCTACAGATGACATCCAAATTAATATGATTCAAGATAAACTCATATTAATTTGAAACTCTTAACTCTTCAACTTCCTTATAATAATTCAAAACATTAATTTATTTTTAATACTACAACTCTTAAATTTTCAACTAACTTATCATTACAACTCAAATGTTTTATTATTATTATTATTATTTTTGTTGAGATTATGGTATTTAATAGGTACTGAGTTCTATTCTATTTTCTTAACAACAAATTTTATATTTTATCGATTTGTATAATCTCTAAATGTAAGTTAGATTTATTATTATTAGTTTGCCAAAAAATCAAATATATATATATATATATATATATATATATTTGATTTAGTAAAACAGTATATAATATCTTTGGTTTCACTAATTATTAATTGATTTTTTTTGTTTTAGAACTACAATTAGTGAAATTAGTGATTGTCAATTAATCGAGAGTTTATAAATGATATACAAGTATGTACATCATATGTAATGTTTTAAATCTACAGATATCTGAAAATTGATTTTATGTTGTTCTAATAAACATTCGAATGTTGTTTGGTTTTTAGAATATTTTTTGGATTAACATTTTTTTAAGAAAAATGATATAAAAGTTGTAAGATTATTGTCGAAGTTAGTAGTTATACTTTTATTATTATTATTATTATTATTATTTTTATTTTGCATAAATACAACATAAATGGAACTTAGGTGGAAAACATCTTAAAAGTAGATACTAGCAATTAACAAAAATAAAACTTGATTATCATTTATAATAACGATTATTAAAAATAGTATAAAATTTTTTATAAAATAATTTAAAAAATTTACTATAATATGTTTCTTATATATAACTTTTGTGTATTTACTAGTAAGTTTTATTTTCTTATTATTTTAAATGTTAAAGATCATATATGTAATGTGTTCCCTTATATTTTTAATGATGGATTGTCGATAAATAATTGACTTCAAAAGATGATTGTATTATTTTGTTCGAGTTTTAAATGAATATTCATAAATGATACATAATATATGTTGCGAGTTGGGACGACCAATTTATATATATTTTTTGTATACTTTGATTACATCTAAAGTTTTTATGTTTATAAGTGATTTGTCAACATTGTTATCATACAATGTTGCTCCTGCACAACGCACGGATATACGTTTAGTTAAATTAATAAATTAAACATATTAGGTTGAAAAATGAAGGATTAGGTGTTTTGAATGCATATTAGGTTGAAAGTTAAAGGGTTACGAGGGTTTCAAATAGATATGTTGAAAGGAAAAATGGTTTTTTTAATAGTAGATAATAGACAGATAGATAGATAGATAATGCTATGAGTGTGATAGAGTTTTCACCGTCGGCATGCTGAGTTGGCTGCCTTTACCGACGGTAACCACCGCCTCTCGACCTATTTTTTAGCCGGCGGTAAAGTTCAACGGTGAACTTTCACCGATATCCCTCTCTTCATTTACCATTGAAATTCTTCTCTCTCCCTTATTTTTTGTCGGCTGCAATCTTCGATACCACACCCTAATACCCAAATTCTTTATAGGCAAATCATTAAATCTTTATGTGGAATCTAGGTGGCATCGGTAAGAAAAAGAACAACACCCTAGAACCTAAGAGATACAGATAACGATAGAGATATTAATGGACAGTTAAAAATGTTTGAGAGTTTCAAATAAATATGGTTGAATATAGATAATCTATTTTGAACCATATTCATTTGAATGTCTTTTTTATATAAGAGTTATAAAGATAATGATAAAGATATATTGATAATTCAATAAATCTACCGTTAATATGATATTAATTTTATGTAATAGTATAATTGAACTAATAAATTAAACATATTATGTTAAAAACCGAAAGGTTGGATGGTTACTAATGCATAAGGTTGAAAGTTAAAAGGATTAGGAGTGTTTCAAATTGATATGTTTAAAGGAAAAATGTTTTTTTAAATAGATAATAGATAGATAGATAATATATAATAAATAACAAATAGATGAGATTAATATCCTAAATAGTTACTACGTATACTAGAGTATATTTGTAACAAGGTGTATATATTTTAGATATCATATTGTATTCTTTTAAATGCTTGATGATGTATCGGTTTAACCTAACACATTATGTGGGGTAAATGAAATTATAAATTTCAAAATTTTGTTTTTTAGCTTTTTTTTTTTTTTTTTGTTTTTTTTTCTTTTTCTTATTGAGCTTTTGGGTATAGCTTATGAAGGTTACGAATAGACGCTGCCCCTGCCTAAATGCAGTGGTGGTCACAAAAAAGATCACGTTTTTGTTTTTAGGGCATATATAGTTTTATTATATATATATTCACATTATTAAAAGTGAATTCAAAGTTCAAGCTATTCTTTTTGTTTTTTAGTGGTGTTCCCAAAATTAAGTAAACATGCACATAAGTTGTAATGATTTAGCAATTATTTTTTTTTTATTTAATAAGTATAAAATATTTTACATGGAATTAATGCAAATTAAAAAAAAAACCGTTTGCGCATGTTATAATTGCATTGAGCGTGATATCCTCTTCTAGTTTATGCATGTTACAGAATACAGATATAGAAAATTAGGTTTCATCGTTTTACTTCGGATGAAATATTTAAAAATAGGTTAATGGTACATGATGGCAGTGGCAAAGTAACACCCAAAATCGAACTCTTCAATGGGCCAACTTTGGAACTTGTGAAAAATAAGGTCCTTCTTTGATTATATCATCGTTATTCTTGTGTAGTTTTCATTCAGAAATCTTATATGATCCCTGATCATGTAGTTTCAGTACGTTCTTCTCCACAGAATTTATTTCATTTAGATGTTAGTACATTTTAGCAACCCAGAACAATATCAATATTTTTGTCTTGGCTAAAAAATATTATAAAAAATATTTTCTCGAGTTTAAAATATCCAATTTTGGTTTTGAAGACACGTAAACGACTACCAAATATTGTTTTTCCGGTGTATATATATTCTAAAAATGTTAATGTAAACGAAAATATAATTCTTATTGAACATGTGAAAGATTAAAAAAAAAATTGTTATCGAACATGCGTGTTGCATTACGTGACTTGTAGCTGCACAAACCCTCCACCGAACTTACCCCATGTTATGTAAAATCACATCATAAAACACAAATGTAATTTCTTTATTAGGTATTTTTTATTTCATACAATATATATAATAAAAATTTTGTATTGTAATCATATTTTAGTAATAATTAATATGCTAAATATTTAAATAACGTATCTTCAACGTATCCGTTTATGCAATATAACCATGCTAAATGTTATGATCTGAATGGATATTTCGATAACTTGATGCATAAATTTCTTTGTATTACAAATTTCAAGGTTAAACACTTAATAAAAAAAAAAGCCGACATCTGTACATTATTTTGTCAACCCATGTAGTGTTGTTTTAAAATCAATTCAAATAATAAACTAGCAACTCTTTTACCATTTTGAGCAAACGTTACATAAATTGGTTAAAAGTTTACACGAAATAACATATAGAGCATAATAGATAAATTATTAGAAATTAACTTTTCTAAATGAAATTTTAAAACCTCCCTCATTGTAAAAGCAACTTGTATTCCCCCTTTTAATAAGACACCTAATAAAGGGAATATAACTATATAAGCAATTTTAGAATCCCATTAAGAAGTCCAATAAAATGCAACAAAGCAAAAGGATTTGAAACCTAATCAAACCAAAAATAATCCAAAGGATTTGCACACCCCAAAGAGCCTAACCCTTTCTTTTCTTCTTCAACTAATCCAACTATCTTAAGTGAATTTCCATTACTACCCACGACACCACTTTCCTCTCTGACTCCTATTAGAAACCTCAATAACATGAATAACTGCATTCCCATTCCCCGGTTGCACACTGAAAAAGCCAAGTAAGCATGTCCCATGACAACAAATAATTTACCCTCACAAACCGATTCCATTGTCTTATGAAAACAAAACTTTGGCTACATTTCCAATAACAGAACTGGAATCTCCATACCCTCATCATTCCATCCCAGAATGTCAACTCAACTTCTATGATGCCGGAATTGGTGGGAAATACTTCAAAAGCCACTCGTTTTGGAATCAAAAGCTGGTTCAGTGTCCCAACATCGCTAGTAGTATGCTCCTTATGAAATAGTTTTTTCCCGAAAACGCCCTTCTTGTGGCATGTCTTGAGTAGCAACTAGCAACAATGTAGTCTTGTTTGGCTTTCCCATGGGTATTAATGTAATTTGACAGTTTAGTAGGCTACGAACCGTCTTTGATCATGTTTAACATGGCTTCAAACGTGAACTGTTTTTGAAAGGATGATTCGAGTTGGTCTTGGGGAAATTACAAGCGGAATTGCTATTCCGGAGTTTAAGGGCTGCAGAATCATATTCCATTCCGGCTTCTTTTTCCGACTTGAAAGTCCCGAGCCAAATGCACTCATTAGTGCGGACCTTGTTTTTGGACCTTTGATGTTTCTTGGTGAAGGGCCTATGGTTTTTGTTTGAATCCGGAGTTTCCATTGTGATGGTCATGGCATTTGAAGTTGGACTCATTCTTTAACTGCAAAATTTGATAAAAGTTCAATTAGATTACAAGAATATGAGAAAAACAGCTAGGTGACGGATAAATTCAAGTTTTCCAACTAAAATACATTGTAAAAAGCATTTACTAAGTAAAGATAAAGGGCGTGTTTGGCAGCGAGCAATTAGGGAGTTTCTAGCTTTTAGCTTTTAACAAAAATGTTGATTTAAACAAAAAATTTCGTTTGGGAGTACAAGCGTTTAAACAAAATGCTTCAAATCTAGAAGCTACTTCATGTAGCATATAAGAAATAGCTATTGAGCTTTTTTAATCAATTTACATAATTACCCTTATATATATTGTCCTTTTATGTAATTTTACATATTTCAAAAGCTTTCAACTACTTTTGCCAAACACTCATATAACAAAAATAAGTTACGGCTTCCAACTACTAGCTAGTTTTGCCAAACACGTCCAAAGAGCATGTCATGCACCATGGTCGGCCAATGCACACCATCAAAACTTAAGCAACAATCCCAATAGGATTGCGATTTTGACAAGACACAAAAATTTGTAACTTCTTGTCATATCCAAAAAAGTGGAACAAGGTGTACTAGGGAGTTGTTATTGATCTATCATCTATGCAAAAACATAAATGTCCTCCTCATCTATGCAAAAGATAACCCAATAGGATTATCATTTCTACAAGAACCGAGTGCACAGGATCGATGTCAATGGGACAAAAATTTGTAACTTTTTGTCACATCCAAAAAATGGAACAAGGCGAAATGGGGAGTGGCTATTGATCTCTCATCTATGCAAAAGACATGAACGTCCTCCTCATCCTCGCTATCAGAAATAGCCCTAGAAAGTTTGTCCAATTTTGCCAAGTCTTATCTCATGTAGCAACAAAGGCTTTCCAAATGCATAGCAACATGGAAGACCAACACAAGACCTATCATAAAGTTGGGAGACTTTTAAAAACTCACCTAGGAAGGAATGAGTTGAATGCAGAAATGGAACTTGTTTAAAATTTACAAAAATCATGAATGAGGCTGCTAAGATTTGGCTCAAATTAAAGACGAAGTTTTTTGTCCCACAATGATGGCAAAAGGAAAGTAGATCAGTCTCTATGGCTATAAAAGGAGTTCAAGGCCTTGGTGTAAATGTCCCCAAATGTGGGTGGTTTAATTAGTCTTTGTGATTGCAATAATTGATCATGTGGTAGTTTTCTCTCTATGTAGACATGTAGGTTTCCTCCAGTTTTGGAGTTTTCCATGTATATTATTGTGTTCAAATTTTCTATTATTTCTATTGGGAGGGTTATCCGGGATCTTTGATAACATTTTCGCAATAGATTTATATAGAAGCCTACCTATAAATCTATAAATCCTTTGCCCTTTATCATATGCATACATCTCATAGATGGGGAACATTAAAAAATAAGGAAAAAAACCAAGATAGTCATGGACATTCTTATACGAACTATGTAGTTATGAATATGTTTGGGTAGGGTGTTCAGTATCACTGTAATTGTGCAATTGCTTAGGGCTTAGCTTTATACTATTAGATGATGGTTATCTTTTATTATACTAGTTACTTATTATTATTAATTAGTTTATGGATAGGGATTAAATATTAGGGTTAGTTTATAAACCTCAAGTGTATTTATAGGGCATTAGGGTTAGAGATACAAGTATAAGTAGGTGATGCCTCTTTGTATATTAGTATGTTTAATACACCATAGAAAACATAGTCCATACGAGTCAAAAAATGTGAAGAATACATATATGCAGTTGCTTTATCCTTGCAAGATGAGGCAATTATTATAGTGCTCTCTATGTGCCAATTAATGTCGAGTTATCTATTGTACCTATTGTATGACTTGAGCTTCGGTCAAACCGATCAACACTACATACAACACTGCATTATTGCTTCACGTTGCCCAATCCAACTAAGTCTCCATAAGAATAACCTCCTTTCATCATTTCAAGCATTAAGGTAGGCAAAACTCTTAAGGACCTTGCTTTGGAACATGGCATTCTCTTGGCGTCACAATACAAATGGGGAATCGCCAATAAACAATCTAGATCAAGGCACACATCTTAAAAACTCTTGGAGGTCACCATAAGTCGGAGTCTTATTGCTTTCTCTTTTGTCGCCTTGTTACTTTCCCTATTGCCCAAACCTTTATAATCTAGTTTCGACTATGCATCCTAAACTACTAAAAATATCTTAAAGCTTTGACCAATACAAGAAAGACTTGTACAATAGCATATTTCTTGGAATATGCTTTGTATGTACCAAACGAGTGTTTCCATGGTGGTTGCATGTCAAATCTAGGCTAAATACCCCAAGTTGTGACACTAAACATGCCTTTCACAATAATATTGATCTCCAAATTCAATTAAGGTTGTATTGTGCTAATATAAGACAAAGGAGACTCTTTGATGGAGTGATTTAGCTAAAGCTTTGTCACGGGAAAGTTCTATATAATTATAACTTCCCATACCGATAATCTCTTGTTATGTTTTTATTTATTTCTCTAAATATTCATTCCTCATTCCTTACAAAAAGATCAATACAACGACAATAGTCCTTTAACAAAAAGTAGTAGTTAGTCGAAGAAATCAAATAAAATGTATAAAATAGGCGAACCACGATAAAGATAAAGAACACCGGGAGGTGAAACCCAAAACATGAAAAACATCACTTTTCCTATGACTCCATTCATAAATTTTATGCACTACTTCCTCATTAGTTGGCCTCTACCTCTCTTAATGCCCACTCTTTTGTCGGAGTCTCCTCTTGTAGCTATTATCCAAAAAAGTTCATTTTGGTTATGATTTAATCATTTTAGAGTCATCTTCTTGTCAATAGAACCTACTCAGATTCTTATGTATACCATCTTTTAAGATGATATGTTCAAGAAAGAACAAACTATTTCAAACTTTTAAAGTAAAAATGTTGTCCCATATCAATTGTTAGATAATTGGGCTATTTATTAGTTATGACGTGGGTTGCTAATATCATCCAACAGTGTTTTAGTATTTTTGGAGCATATATTCACCAATAGATTTGGATATGTTACAAATGGTATCAACATGACAACCTTTTCATGTAGAGTGAGCTCGACTCGTGCATGGTGGCGATTTTGTAATTTTGAATGAACTTAAATGGGGAGTACTATGTAACATCCCACAATCTTGATTAGGCATTGTTAGACTCCTAAACATCGAGAGTGTGCTACTAATAACTTTGCATAATGATCTTACTTGTTTAATGGGCGGTGGACTTCATTTGCAGATTAGGCCTATGTTACAAATCATGTCAAAGCAATGACCTTTTGAGATGCAATGACGTGGACTTATGCATCTTCTCAGAATATATATATATATATTATATATATATATATATATATATATATATATATATATATATATATGATCATGTGATTATGCATATGCTTATTGTATCAAAGTAGTGGCTTTTGGATATGTGTGAACATTGCTTGTGATTCTAATGATTCCCGTTATCCTAGTCATAAAACTCAAGTGTGCAAGTAGGTTACACTCCACCTAAAATTAATCTGTAGTGAATATGACTTGTTAGGAGCTATGTAAATCCTTAACAGTGGGTTACTAATTAAAACCATTATTATGGTTTTAGTTGTCAAGATGTTATCAAACTAATACACAAATACGAACTTTCTATTATGGTTTTAGTTATCAGGAGGTTATTAAACTCATATGCAACAACAAACAAACCAGCCCACAACTACAGGCATGCAAAATATATGTGTCAAATGGCTTCTCATCCGGTTCTTTTCTTTTTACCCTTCAGTGAGAGAAAAGGCCATATGTAAAGGGGTAATTTTAGGTTTTATTTTTGAAAATAGATGAAAATTCACATCTGACAATATATTTGCACTTATGGCTAAGAATCTGATATAAAATTTATGTACTTATGCTTGTGAGAGAGGAAGGACAAGTGACATCAAATTCTTTTCATCTATAGTTTTGACAAATATGGTGTGCCAAAGTAAAAGTAAAAGCAAAATAGGACTTTCTGAATAACCATATGTTTATTTGATATATTAATGCATGAACAATGAGATAACTCTTTTTGTAACCATTTTAGTTGTAACATACATATATGTAAGTTCACCCCATATAGCCTATTATATAGTAGAGTGACAATAAGGATGAAGTTTCAGAGAAGTCCCAGTTACTTAGATAAATTTGAGCATCAAGAATAAAAAAATAATTGACTAATTAATCATGTACAATGAGTACAAGAAGACTGATAAACTTTTTTGAGGGATTTACATTGATAATCATGCTTGACACCAAACCCTAATACCAGTACTACTCTAAATACTCCTACTACCAGCAGGCTACAAATAATATGCCTCTAAATAAAGTTAACATCTAAATGAAAAGCACAAAGTTTTTGTCAAACTTTATTGACAAAATATATAACAAAGAACTTAGGATAATTAAGAATGAATGCCAAAAGACTAATCAATACTGTATAGCAGTTCACTTGCTGTCTAATCAAAATGAACAGATACCATATGTATAAGAAAGTTTTACCAATTTGCATAGATATTAGGAAGACGTATCTGTAATCTAGAAATATTGTAGAAAAAGTTGCAAGTACCTGTTTACTTAATTTGGGGAATAATATATTAAGACACAACCAAAGAAAGGAAGAAAGAAGAATGATGAGAAAGAGATCATAAACTGATAAACTTTTTGGAAAGTAAGAATCCCATCCCTAAACTCTTGGATTGATGACATTCGGGTGCATTTGTTTCTTTGGTTCAACATGTGAAAGAAATTGGGGTACTTTTATATGTTTACTTAAAATTTCACTATTGTATTCAGCTTTGTTTCTTTTTCTAATTTTTGGTTTTTAAGATCCATACAAGGACTATGCTGGATTCGGAGGTATTGCAATATTGTGTAATAAATGATCCACTTACAATCCCCACTTAAAAGAGTGTAGCATAATAACTAATTGGCTGGATTTTGAAACCAAAATCCTAGAAATTAATTTCTGCTTTTAGTATTTGTATTCTAGTTTGATGTAGTAATTATCATAGTTTACTTGGATATTTGTATTAGCCTAGTACGTTATGTATTGTAGAGGGTATCAAAGTGTAACTTAGTCTAGTATATATATCCTTGTATCAATATCATTATCACAGAATATATACAGAAACACAATCATACGTTTGATAATTTATAAATTTTGTATTAATTTTGAAGTAGGAAATTTGTTATTCTTCAAATTTTTAAATACAATACTTTATCCGGTTTACATTCTTAGTGTATGTATTACCTTCCTCATGTTGGCCGTGGGACCCACCCATGGTTATGTATTGACTCTTTTTCCTTAGTTATGTTTCATGCCAAGTGATAAACCTAGAACAGTCATTCCTTTCCTAAGATATTTATCTCAAACTACATCTCCTGATGCCCTCAACATTTGCCTCTAAAACTATTATTCCTATTAAAGCATAGTTATTGCTTGCATGAAATCATCCTGTCAAACCCATTGTAAACAAAATTAATTAGTTTTCTCCAAAGGGGATCTTGAGTGGATTTTGTGTCTTTTTATCATACCACACATTTTAAGACTTGATCCACATACAAAATATTGAATCTTTAATGAGAAACACTTTCTCAAATGCTAATGTTCAGATCCAGTGCAAAACAAACCTAATAACATGTTAAGGTGTGAGCATTACTGAAGATGGCACCAGGGATTGGCCTTTTGAGACATAAAAGATTGAACTGGTAAAGTATATTGGATTTAGTGGCAACTTGCATCCCAACACTTTATGAGGTGGGAAGATAATAATGTTCCACTAAAGAAAAAATAAGTGATCCTCAACAACTATAGGTTCCACTTAATGTAAAGAAGCATGGATATATCTATATATCTCAAGCAATATCATAGAAATCACCAACTAAATAGCCTTAAGAATTATAATAAAAAAATTTAACAAGAATTAATACAAACCTAGCAACTTGGTAATCAAGATTTCACCAGACGAAAGAGCTATGTCTTGCCCCCAAAACACCAAGCAGCTAGCAATATCCGTGGTAAGAATTAGTATTGTATGCTTAAACCCTAAATTTCTCCAGGAAATTAAATATCTTGGTAAAGGTAAATGATTTCAAGAACCCTAAATGAACTAATTAAGGTAACACATATGATTATATTCTAACCTGTCTGAAAATTTGTCTTTGATTTGGTGCCTCCTGATAATATAGAAAGCCAAAGACTTCACCAAGATTTGATTGCATGCATCCTTTGCCTTCTCAATCTTCCTTCCAAGTGCTGTTTTCCATCTTGAAAATCAGAAGTCAATGAAAAGAGGTAAATATATGTTTAATTATTAAAAAACCCTTATATAATATACTTATAACACATTAACACGTACAAGTATACAACACACTATCTTAGAAATAGGTGCTACTTTATACAAAGAAACCCTTGTTCCAAAAATTTCTACTGTCTTCGTTGTCGGACGATTTGAAATAAAGATAAAGAAACCCAGATGGATTTTGGAGTTCAAATCAGTAAGAAACATCGACAAGATGAAAATAACCTAGATTTGGGAGACACCATATAGAACGTTTTCAACTTCTTTGAAAGAAAAATAAAGAAAACGGTTAAACTGCAGTTACGAAAAGAACGGTATGTACCTTGTTAATGATATCAAGAAAAAACCCTCTTCTTGCTCTTCATCAAGAACAAGTACAGGATTCAAACTCCAAAGTTGAATATTATAATAATAAAAGTAAATACATAGATAAAAGGGAGAGAACACATTAAATAAATCAATCATCATAAATAGTACAAAAATAACAAGAAGGTACACAGAATACATATCTAGTCTCTACCAGCTGTTCCAAAGGTCGTCTTCTTCATTCTTAAAATCTGAATCTGGTCAAGCTACTATTGCAATAGACAGATCAAGAGTATGAAAAGGTAAAAAAAGAAGTAGAGAGAGAAAGAGACATAGAGATAAGGTGTATGTATAATCAGTCATCAGAAGTTGCAGCTTTTTCTTGAATACAGGTGAGTAGCAAGTGGACGGTAGATGATAGTGTCGGCATCGACAGGTCTGTCCAGGTGTCACTCTATAGCTTCTCCCTTATCCAGTGAAACGAGTTAGAAGACACAAAGCATGAATATAAAAACACATAAAATACGAGAAAAAAGTGATGTAGGTTACTGTAATAGTTGTTACACAGGTGTTTGTTGAGATGAGCTGACAGCAAGAGAAGTGAGCACACGCATAGATACAAGTGTATACCTCTCTATATACAATTGCTTGCGTATGCTCACTCTCTTCTGTCAGCTTTCTTTTTAATGTCTTCCAGACCCTTCTATCCTGTGATGAATAATAAGATAAAATATTTAGATCTTATAAAAGTCTCATATATATGTACATGTCCAGCCAAAAAAGAAAGAAAGAAAAATACCCATCTGGCCATCTCTCATATATATATTTGTAGAACAGTAGAAAATCTTTGGTATTTGATAATCATTGCTTGGACTCGAAGCCAAATCAAATTAGTGTTCGAGTTGACTTTTATATAAGAAAAAGAAAGCCAGAACTTATAAGTGGTTGGATCTCTTCTTGAAGATGAAGATGAATCATGAACCAACCATCAGTTTGATTACAAGTCCACTTTTTGAGTTGTTTCTAATATCATCTCATCTCATCGTCATCGTATAATCATTTCATGATACATGTGGTGGGGATGGGAGTAAAAGGGGAGACAAGACTTAGTAAACACCGTGTGGGTCTCTTACACACTTTCTTTAACTCCATCTTACTAACGTGAGCATATTAAATAGCTACGCCAAGATTTTTTAATTGAAGTGATTGGGGAAATGGGATCTCGTTGTCGAGATGGGATTGGTGGCTTAAGGTGAATGGAGAAGAATAATAATAACAATGGCTTACGTAATTTCTCGAACTGGGGATTAATTTGATGGCGGAGTTTTGCGAAAATGACAATAAGGGAATCCGACTACTGAAGGCCGTACGATCGATAAGATTGGGATCTAGGGGGGCCCGACGCTATGCTGTCGCCGGGAAGTTCGACTTCCGTAAGCCAAGGACTTTGCATAGTTCGAGGAAGACCGCATTTGCTTTTACAAAAATTATACATGTTTGGATTTTACTAAAACTAATTACTATATATCACATTATTAATCGGTTTGCATTTGCATGTTAAAATAAAGAAAACATTTGAAGACATACGATTCCTAAATATAGTATTTTAGTTCTTCTCTTTTGTTCTTGTTTAATGTCACATTCAAATATATATCCAACAAAGTATTTAAATTCTCAACTTATTTATTAAAGCATACATTTTCAAAACATTTGATACTTCTAGCTTATAGGTCATTTATGTATGGGCTTGTTACAAAAAGTCTGGCAATAGGGACGATATCATAATGGCATTAGAGGTGACATCTAGTTGGACATGTTGTATGTCACTTATAATGGCGTCATCGCCCCTAACGATATCACGACAAATAGCGTTGCCCTTAACAATTCATCATTCATAATATCTTAAAAAAAATACTTCTTTTTTTCTCTTTTCTGCAATTTCTCACGGTCCTAAGAGTACTCTTCTCTCTATCGGTGATAAAACCACCATTTTTCCGTTGTTGTCGATGAATACCGCCAACTCCTTATATTTGCTCTTATTTGTTGTCGGTACGACCACCGATTTTTTAGGTCAAAAAGTTGCACAGCCACCAGCCTTATCCTTTTTGTTATTGATTTGTAGAACTTTTGTATATAATGTGTTTAGATTATTATAAATTTGTGAAATGTATTTTTAGATGTGTTTTGATCAGTTGGAATTTATGAAATATTTGTTTCAATATTCTTAGATCAATAGAAATGTATGATTCGATGTGCTTCGATTAGTATAAATTTATTAAATCGTGCGTTTGGATATGCTTAGATTAGTAGAAATGTATGTTTGATTTTGTTTAGATTACTTAGTAGATATTTATGAAATGTATGTTTGGATATGCTTAGATTAGTAGAAATGTATGTTTGATGCATTCAGATTAGTAGAAATTTATGAAATGTAGGTTTGGATATGCTTAGATTAGTAGAAACCTTTCTTTGGATATGTTTAGATTAGTAAGAAAAGATTAGTGCAAATTTTTGTAGAACTTTTAGATATGTTTATATTAGTATAAACTTATGAAATATATGTTTGGATATGATTATATCAGTGAAAATATATGTTGATACTTTGGTAATTAATAGTTTGGTTTATGTTGGTAGTTTGATAATTTCTTTTATTTTTGTTTGTCCTTATATCTTATGAGTTTATAAATGTGTTATCATTTTGTTAATGTCTGTACATATTTATTTGGGAAATTGTTAAAAATGTCTCAGTATTTTTGAAAAAGTTTCATTTTAGTCCCCAAAAGAAAATTTGAACATAAAAGTCTCGATTATTTCATTTTGGCTCAAATTAACAAGAGTAAATTACACAAATGGTCCCTATGGTTTGGGGTAATTTACGTGAATGATCCTTAATTTATTTTTTTAACTCGGAAGGCCCCTGCTGTTTGTTTTTGTTACGCGCTTGGTCCCCACTGTTTGTTTTTGTTACGCGTTTGGTCCTTGTCTTACCTAAAAATACTATTATTTAAATAGGAAAAGATGGTATGATAGGTAAGGTAAGGTGAGGGGGTGAGGTTAGGAGTATGTTTATTTAAATATATTAAAAATCAAGGGCAAAATAGTTTTTTTAGGTAAGACAGGGACCAAGCGCGTAATAAAAACAAACAGAAGGGACCTTCCGAGCTAAAAAAATAAGTTAGGGACCAAACACGCAAATTACCCTAAACCAGAGGGACCATTCGTATAATTTACTCAATTAACAAAAAAAATCATTTTTTTTCTTTTAACAAGAAATGACATATTATCATGTAAAATCAAATAATTGAGACTTTTCTGTTCAGAAAAAAAAATTAGGACTAAAGTGAAAATTTCCTGAAAATATTAGGACTTTTCTGACAATTTCCCTATTTATTTTGTAGACAAATCTTCTTTAACAATATTTTTAAAGGGTGTTTGAGATTGAGCTTGAAAAATGTTTATTGACTTTTTAGTTTTTCTGTTTTTCAAAAAAACAATAAGCTTAAAAAATTTTGGAAAATAGAAAAGTGCTTTTGAATACAACTTTTTACTACGTTTAAAAACAAGTTTTTAAAAAGTTACACAATCTTGACTTTTGAAAAATGTTTATGGCTTTTTCACCTAAAATGACTATAAAATAACTATAAATATATCCAAACATTTTTTTTAAAGTGTTTATCAACTTATAGTTTTTTGCTACCACATAAGCTAATCAAAATATCTTTACTTTTTTAGAAACTCACTTTGGTCACTACGTAAGCTAATAAGCGTTTTTAGTTCTTATTGAGTTAAATGAACAATCCCAAACATCCCTTACTGACCCGGAGTCTAGAGCGAGACTTGAATACGTGTTTCGATCGTTCTAGACCCAAAATAATAATGGGAGCAATAAAGAGGATAACAACGATAAGGGGGTGATGTATTCGAGTAGTTTTATGTTTTCTAGACATTATTGTATAGCAAATAATTTTAACATTATCTTTTTGTACTAGTCTATGTATTTTTTATAATGTTGTTGTTTTTTGTATTTTTTGGTGTCGTTTCTACATTGGAAGCATCTTTCAGGTGCTAGAAAAATAATATTTTAAAATTTACAAAGAGAAAACTGGAAATAGGGGTGACATTGGGCAATACGGGCAATAGTATTACGGGTGACACTAGAACATTAACAACAAAGTATTAACTACGACTCAATAATGGCGAGTGGGCACTGATAAATTCAATAGGGGCGACATGTGTCGCTCCTATGGCCTTAAAACCATGTAATGTTAATAGCTCTTAAATAAATAAATTATGTCTAAGTTAAGAGTCATTTAAGTTATGTCCGGTACTCCACAACTAGTTGCTAGTTCATATTTTTTAATGTTTTAGGTTGTTACGTTTCATAAGTCAGTAAATAGCTATAAGCTATCTTTTTTAAACCATCCGGACTAGCATTTCATTAAGCTTATAGAGTTTTTTTAATTCGCTCATATATGTATCATTTATTAATTATAAGAAAACTTATTTCCCATATTCACTCATCAAGCTTACTCTTCTCTCCTAATTATCGAACTTATCTCTCATAGTTCTCTTAATGAAAAGGTAAATCACAATCGATTTAATGATCAATCATAGAAGCTTCACTGCTTTAAATGTATATATAATATGCTAACATACTATCTTCTCATATTCTTTGTCTTCATTTTTCATTAGATTCTTTGTATGTGGACTATAACTAAGAATTGTTAGTAAAAGTTGATATTCTTGTGTATTTTGAAAATATCAATATATCTTATCAATCTACATGGAGGATCTGTAATTTCTTTGCTAAACAGTATTTGGTACATCCCAAATTTTAGATGTGAGTGAGAAGACATGTATAAAAGGTCAAAAGTAGGAAATGCGTTGGATTAGAAACATTTTTTCTTTAATAACCATAGAAAAACAAACATAATAAGTAGATATGGTGCATACCTCTAAACTTAGATATGGGCAGTTTGTAGATGAATGAAAAGTCCTTTCACCAACGGGAAATTTAGATTCGTACGTACCAGTTGTATCTACAAATATTGTAATGCCAAGTTTCGGGTATGTTTCTTTTAAGTAATTTAATATTTTAGATGTTGGATTTATGGTGGCCACAACGTGGTGATGGAGTCCCACGGCGTGGCAAATGCCGAAAGTTTTGTGGGCACTAAGCTAGCGTCACGACATGGCATCTAATCGCCACGATGTGGTCGTTGTTTAATGGTAAAACCTAATT